ACCCTGGTAACAGGTGTGTGTGTCACACGAGATGGGCATGGTGTGACTGCACCCAAACGAGAATAAGGTATGTGGCTAGGTAGCCAGTATGCATGCATCTAGATTTTACTATACATATTTAGGAAAATTTAAATATTTAAAATTAGGTGGCTTGACGCAGATAAAAATAAATAAAAATCAGTTTTTAATTTTAACCAAAGAGTTTATTAGTCTTGGTTAAGGCACTAACTACTCTTGGAGGTAGCGGATTGCGATCCGCTACAATCGTATTGGTTCTCGTAAAGAACGAAAGGTCGGTGACCTAAATTACGCTTCCTCAAGCGCTAAGCTACGGCATCCCCGCTGCACCTACAACCATAAGCCCAAGCTGGCAGTCTACGCGAAGGCAAACTCATCTCTGTCACCAAGATCTCGCTTTATGGGTTCAATCCGAGTTTGGCAGACCATCGGTCGTTTGACGGTTACCCGCGTTGTATCAGCGCCACCCCTAGTCCCATTAAATTTGAACGCGAGACGCCAGCGCCAGCCACGGTTCCCAGACATTGAATTGCTCTTGCTGGAGTTTGTGTAGCTGTACCAAGACTCCGCAGCTCTTTGCGAACTTGTTCGCTGGGAAAAGCGATCGAGCTTCTCCATCATTAAGATGTCTCGTACTTGTGAGCGCAGAAGTTGAAGTGGCGCTACAACATTCGTTTGCGCACTTCACAATGCGAATCCGGATCAGTAGATCTCGCCACGGTTAACATCAAGCGTTGAAAGGTATAGACTCTGATTGAAAAGTCACAGGATGTCTTCAATTTCGATCAGACCAGCCTCTTCAGTCGCATGCTGCTCAGTTAATTTATCGCAGCTAGAGAGATCCAAGAGACTAAAAAAACAATACGCATATTACTGTCGGACTGTGCTGCAATATGGCAGGTACCGAGGAGATGGACCCCGTCGTCATCTACAGCAGCAAAAAACCTCGCTGGTCTTGCAAAGTGTGGCGCCGTTGCATTACGCAAACAAGGAATCACGGATGACACGCGTTGTCTTCACGGGTGATCGACCAATTCGAGGCCGACGGCAATGTCTCGCACATGGATGCTCTGACAGCGATCTAGTTTTCCACTGATGTGTGGGCAATTGTCAGTAAAATTGCCATGTAGACGGTTGGTGGCATATGAACATCGTACCAGCACCCAATGGCTACTCTACTCAAGTCATCCAGCGACCGTGTCGATGTCAATGATCACCCCAAGCTCAGCGCTTTCATTTGCCATATCGACCTCGCCGACCCGTTCGACGCTAAAGTTACATCGACATTCAAAATAACTCCCGTGAAGCCACTGTGGACATCACTCCGTCGACCAGTGATGTAGAGGGCGATACTGCCGATGGGGTGGAAGATGAAAAGATGAGCGGGCGGCGAAGATCAAGTACCTTGCGATCTACGTATTCGCGAATGGCCAACATCGCTGTGGTCATGGCGAATGCGAGCGAGATGCCGCAGGCGGGAATGAACCAGTCAGAGCTCTCGGCCATCTTCGTTGCGGGGAATGGACGAGGTGCAATTCACATTCAGAATAAAATAAATTGTTTTATTGAAATGTGTGGCTGTATACAAGGTTGTAGTTGATGTTATTCCCGACCAGCATTCCACAAGTGCCTGCCTGCGCAATCTGCGGGGCGGAGAAAACGTCGTGGCTCCTACTTGAAGTAATTGCATGAATGGTACAAGTGATTGACCTGGTCATGGCTTCAAAACCACTCACGTAAAACTGTATACCCTTTTTAATATATCGCTTCATGATCGACTAGCTAAGACACTTTTAACCACAACACACCGAATTCAGTACACCTCATAATGAGAACACAGGCACTTACCATGCTTCCTCTTCTCTTCCATCAAATGTGTCCTTATATCGTTAGCAGACCGTATCAAGAATTAAAAGCTTGACTTTGAACGGAGCTAAATTAGACAATAAGGCATTGTACAAGTCAAGAAATTTTATCGACACTTGAGAATGCCAAAGTCCTCTGGGACTTATGGACCGCCAGACACTACCAACACAACAGGGTATGTACGCGTTGCACTATTGTCCTTGTGAAGCTTAAAAGTCCTGAATATGGCGCTGTTATCTGAACTACGGTTCGATATTTGAGTGAAGGCTCATACAATGTACCATTCACACGTTTATTGTCAAAAAGATAGATATTAGTCTTTGTTCTAATTACATTCTACTCTGAGGTAGTTTTTGTCGTCAATCACACGACTCATCACGATAAGTATGTGGTCACTGTTGAGGATGGACAAAAATGCCCAGCAATCTCACCTCGGGTCGACAAGGCATGCTTTTAGACATGAAGTGACTAAAGCTTCATAAGCATGCTTTGTATAGCACATCTACTGGTCCCAGTCTTTAAGGGCAGTTTTTACTGGAGGTTATCGCCAGCTGTGGCAAACATCTTCAAAAGTGTCGCAATAAGACGTCTGTGAAGTTCTACTGACGTCTCCCGAGCTCGATAGAGAAGAAAAGATTTGGTAAAGCGTCAGGAGCTCAGAAGCTAGAATATGGAAATTCCGGACACAATAGGCGGATAAAAGCACACATTTGGCGATAACCCACTTTAGGAGATTGCCTTGCGCTGATGATCTTCACATTGAAATTCGCGCACAAGTAGGAACTTAGTGCAGTCACCCTCTTGATGGAGTGTTCCCGACTTGATAAGTACTTAATTATGAATCAGGCTTAGCGCATGTGATTTAAGCTCTTATCTACCCGTCAACTAGAGTAATGTCAAATTACATGTGTAAGAGGGGCGGTGTATTTCGCAGAGAGGAGGTTCCAAAGATTCCGCGTTGACAAACGCACAGACAATGGACTTGTCTGAATACAAACAAGGGACCTAGTATGCTCGTTTTACAGAGTGACAAAAAATTGGAATGAGTGAGGCGACCTCATGCTCAAACATTTGATCCACTATCAAACAATGGTAAATCTTTATGTACTGCATAAAATGAAGCTAGCAGCCGATGTGTCATCCAGACCTCTCCGAGCAAGAGTGTCATTTCCCTCATCCGTGCGAGTAAATGTCCTGACACTTTGTAACACAGTAACAGTGGTGCCATACATTGTTAGATTTGAGCTTGATTGAAGGACTCAATTTGCAATCAAGAAAGGCTTACGTCACGATAATACTTGAGCGCTGAGAATGGGCAAACGTTGGCAGAGCTACCGTATTGTCAGACGGACTTCGCAGCGTGTCTTTACCATCCACCAACCTCTTTCAAAGATGCAGTGAGCGAAAATAAAATGAGGCAGAAAAATTTCATAAAATTTGATTGGTGTGTCGGATACGGTGGTTCTGTGAGCACCCAGATGTAAGAATGAAAGTTTGACCACCCGGATTCTGAGTAGTGCCTTCGTATCCGTAGGTGCTACGCGTGCAGATAGTTACATAATTTCACATTGTATGTTTCCTTTGCTCTCGTGTTAAAGGCCAAGCAAGCCGAAAGCCGGCATATCCGCTTTTGAGCGACAAGTATTTGGCGTCCATGGCATGAGGTACCAAAACAAGCTGTGTGTCAAACGAGCACCGAGCCAGAGGACAGCAAGCCATGGGGCAAGAAATAGCTGTGCAGCCGTGGTCGCCTGCAAGGCAACATATGCTGTGTCTGCCTCAATATATAAATAGCTAATGCGCGACGTAACAACTTTTGGAATTTGAAGTTCTGAGCGACACAGAAGCGTATTTAACTTTGCATTAAGCCAAACCGGTCGCCAAAGAATCTTATTAGATATTTCTCAGGTATTTCTCAGTTCAGGTTGACCTAGGTTCACCCACTGGGTGATAATCGGATCTCTATTGTAGTAGATATCACCGACGCTCGCTAAGAGATACGTTTCCGGTCGCTAGACTGACTAACGACAAGCGGGGAATTCGGCATGCTTACAATAGCTATATACAGCAACCATATCCAATTTCTGAGCGGGTGGCGCTGTATAATCCTGTCGAATAAGTCGATGGGTGCTAACAACTTATTACGAGACACAAATTTATTCCACCAAACTCTGCGCTAGCAATTCTGGGAGCCCCCAGGGCTGTATAGCGCACTTCAAACTTTTAGCACCCTGGTGACGTAATTTCTTAAACCTCATCGTGCATTTAGAGTCAAATTCTGACTTATTTTTCATCCATACTGGTATAAAAACAGATATAGAATGCTGAATTCCATAACGACCACTTACGGGCAGTGTGGCACAATAATCACTCTTTCATCAATGGTGAAAAATATGTCTAAACTCGCACCAATTCTGGCCTTCACTAATCAAAACTCCTTCGGCGAGGCGTCGACTTTACCTCAGGCTGTGTTTGCCTTAGGCGACTGCTCATGGGCGAATACGCGAGATCAAGATTGAGTCTAGCCAGCTTATAGCTTCAGAGAAGACTTTTCTACCTCATGTCCAGGGTCTACTTGCGACTAAGTCGTTCTCGGAACGACAGATGTACACATATTTTGCGCTTAGCCATCTTTGACATATGCAGATGTTTGGTTATTACGCACATGTGATATTTTTACCTTTCTTTATTTGATAACGACAAGACGATTTGTTCTGCTGATGCAAATATTTTTGAAGAGAATGTACACCCTTTCGGCATGATGTGGTGACAGATGTGATCAACGTCGCCTAATTAACGATTTGTCATATGCCACAATCGCGACGTGGTATCGACAATGCTACCCGTCTGGCTTGTGATTTAGACATATCATGGGCTACACTGCAGAAGAGAAGTAGTTACATTCTAACGCTTTTTCATATAAACATTAAAAGCGCGTCTATGTCAGTTTTCTCGTTCCAAGGCTTGCAGCAGCACAGCTTGACACAAAGAGAGCGGTGATTCCTTTACAAATATAAAAAATCGTATGAGGCGTATGATGATCGGTCATACAAAAAAATTAGATGAGAATACGGTCGGCTGAAGGCACGCTTCGTGGTTGTGGTCCAAGGCTTAAAAGACGTTAATACTTACGTGCCCATATGTGAGACGTGGTGACAAATGAGATTCACGCCGCATGTTCGAGCGTCGTTGAACTACCGCCTGCGGCGATGGTATTTTATCGTATTTGATTCTTTCGTCTTCATGAAGATGCTTTCGGTAAGACCGCCTTTGTTATCTTCGTAGACCATTCCAGCAAAAAAAATTTGCTCGCTGTTCTCAGCGATAAAACCATCGGCAGGAATTTATGAGCAAAATGTTTTTTCGCCAACATGACTTTCGTGGGACAATTGAGTCTATCTAAGAGCTGCATTTGGCAGCCAAACTTTTGGTAATCTTTGTTCAAGATGCTTAGCAGCACGTTGCACAGCGGATCAATCCAAGATTAATAATCACCTGAAACGCATCAATTGCGTAGCATAAAATATCTTCAACAGCAAAATCAGGGCGTGACCGTGATGCTAACGCATTGCTCCTATAATCGTATTTTCTGGATGATATGCTAAGTCGTGTGGCCCAACGTGACTCTAAAGCATGGCATTGCTCCAATCTCGAGACCTGAACAGTAGCTTTATCAGATGTTTCACCGGTATGTACATAGCTGCTTCCTGTTAGATGCCAACCAAAAACGAGTTTTAATCTAGACGTGGACGCCTCGCTTTGTATTTCACAAAGTCAAGCAGTATGTGAATATTCTGAAGAAGACTTTTTTTTGAAACTAGCTTGCACAGCAACAAAGTGTGTAAGGACATAAGTTGTGCCGTAAAATATCGACACACAGTAGTACCATAAGGTCATCCCTCGTAGAGTAAACTAAACTTAAGCCAGCCACAGGCTACTTCTCCTACGTGACGACTTTTTAAGACTTTCAACGAATGGTTTAACAAAGCTCATGCTGAGAACTTCTTAGTTATTGAAACAAGCAGCTTAACGAGGATAGAATTTCATCTCGATACAATAGATCTCCAAGCCTGGAACGTGCTTTGATAACGTGTGGTGAGTGTGAGCTCCGGAAAAGGACAGTCTTTAAGGATGGAATGTGATCCCTAAAAGATTCATGGAGCGATTGTGATCGATGCAATTAATATCTTTGCGCTACGCGTAAACGATACAGGAACTGGTTCCAGTAAACCTTATTCTGTGCTGCGGCGTTCGCGGTCGTTTCAGTTCCAGAGAAATCTTGAGCTTTATTGGAACGAGTTACGTGGCCGACCTCGTCCGGCGGAGAGTTAGGCTGGATGTGGGACACACAATAATGAAATTATAGTGCTTCCCATAACATCCGATAGATTTTAAGCCGGCATTCCACCGAGATAAATTATGTAAGGGTGGTTTGAATCATTAACCACTGCGTGACGAGATTTGAAGGAATCATTGCAACTTAATACCGAAGAAGCGTAAAAGTGATCTAGCACTAGACACGTTATCGGATTGATGGTACTCCAATATGATTAGCTCCGTAAATCACGCTGTCTGCTAGCCTCACGAAATGCACCAGTTAGTGTTTAGATGTCATTGTGGAAAAAGCATATGCTTCAGGTATTAATTATAGCAAGATGCGTTTAGTTCTAGATACACCACTATGCCTCCTTTCGATGTTACTAGCTCGATACTTGATTGGATATTACTTCCGCGTCCGAGATTGTCAATCAGAGGAGCACAACAATTAAAAAGCATATCGGCATCGTGTTAGATTACATTTTCATAGAACTAAACATATTCTCGCCGCACTAAATATTAATGCTAATGATGATGAACGGTCCATCAATGATGCCAGCCTTCATCTTGGCTTTAATGTTGTTTCACTCCGTATTAAACTATCAGCTGTGTTAAGTATTTGATGATCGATGGATGCGTCGAATGCATAATGTATTTGACCAAACTTATCAGAAACATTTCTCATAAAATTTATGTCAATCAGACAATATAAAGTAACATTGTCTTTTGTTTCCTAGCTAGACATGCAAGTCAATTAGACATGTTGAGTTCACACCCAGGCTCGGTACCCTGAGCTGTGTATTATTTGCTAAGGTATAAATTCTTTTTTTGGCAGACTACCTGCTACGTTTTTGAAGATGTTGGAGCAGGTATGATACATTATTTCCCGCGAAAGGCCGTGAGCAATACGCTATTTGGAATATATATAGAGTTCAAAGTGCTTAAATAGCTCGAGTCTAGCCCTGATTACCTTAATGAACAACTAAATCGGTATGACCATGGTCGACTTCATTTCATAGAGCTCCCAGAATAACTGTACTGTCATCGCCGATGCTTGTGCAACGGACCTGGCCATCAGAAGCTGAATCCAGGAGAATGGTAGTGTACTGAGGACGGAGATGGAGGCACAAAGCTCACAACAGAAAAGAATCTTGTCAAGACAGCAGATACATCGATGTTTATCACTCTTCTATTCACTTGCTAAAGCTGGATATGACAGGGACATAGATGATCGCTGTGTCTTTATATTCGGCGTCACAATACACATGTGGCATGACTTTTCGACCCTCCAAACAATATTTTTTCAAAGCAATCATACTTAAATCGTATATTTTGGCTGTCAACACTTGACATGGTGTAGATTTTACCAAGCTTAGCCCGTTAGAAGCTACTGATTTTCACAGAAGTAGCTTTACTCATATTATGCCTCGAATTGTGACAAATACACTTGCAATAGTTGTGATATTCCTTTAGAAATTCAGTTGATTTCTCATCTACAAAGTAACGCATTTGTGGGCTTTGCTTTCTACTAAAAAGGATACGTTCGTTCAAAAAAATAGTTCTTTTGATGTTCTTTTTAGCGGCAATGAAGATGGTTGCCGCTCGACCTTGCGTAAGAGTGAGACTAATTTCATTAATCATCTTTCTCGTGAGCTTGGCTGATCTCCATTGCTTCTGGCGCGCTCGTGTAGTTTTTACCTTTGCGCTTTCACCGGTCTTCGTGACACGGAAGTTGTACATAGCGGACAACGCTACAACCACCGCTTATTCGAAAAGAGTTGACTGCAAACTTGTGTACTACATTTGGAACACTTGATACAAAGCGATATAATTGTACGAGATTCACATCACACTTGGTGTGATTGCGAATATTGATGAGTAGCGGAATCTCGGCATATATGAAGATGATGAGACTGACAGAAATGGGGAGTTTGTGGTTCATGTGGGCGGCTAGCCGCGCATTGGAAAATTAGACTAAGAGACTGTAGAAAGGAAAAATATACTTTTTTAAATAGCATTAAATCCGTAATAACTGTACTCTTGCAATATTTAAGCGAGTGACAGGCTATGTTGTCTAAGAGGCGCTCGTGGGTGATGTAAATATGTACGTCAGTCAACGCGGACTCAGAGGGTCCAAGCTTTCTATGTGCAAAGTGCACGGCGACCTGCTGCAGATAAGCTGCACGGATACAGTCCTTTGAACTTTTGTATGATGGGCTCTGATCAAAATTCATCCTTTTGATAGTATTTGTGGTGCAAGACTCGACGTCGGCGTTATTTGTAAAGATGTAAGATTGCGTTCTGTTAGATAATATGTCATCCCGTAGAAGTGCCGTTTGCCATTAAATATCCTAACGACACGTTTAAAGATGCCACGTTGTTGATAACACGCTTTACTATCGTCGTTTCATGGCTCTGGATCGCTTTCACATATGACTACGAAAAGCTTGGTTTCTAAGAAAACAAGCACCTAACTCCACTCTGCATGATAACTTTAATTTTGCTAAAAAAATATTAAGCTGACACATTAATATACATCAAAATAGTAGTTTTCTTAAATTGCTAGACGTCCAGTGAATATGCTGCGCTTTCGTCTCGTCCGCTCATTGTCCCACCACGCAGTTCGCACGTGCTTCGTAGCATCTAACGCATCAAAATCTTCGACTTGTCCTTCATTTGGCATAGCGTTTGACATTGACGGCGTTTTGATTCGGTAGCCAAACCTAAACAAGATTTGTGCAGCTTATACTCATTTTAACGTCGTAATCGCAAGTGGCGGCCATGAGCTGCCTAATGCAAAGCGCGTACTACAGAGTCTACGCGCGAACAATGTGCAACATATTTTTCTTACCAATGGTGGTGGATGTATGGAGGAATCGAAGGCTGAGAAGTTGAGCAACATTCTCGGTTTGTCTATCAACCCAGAGCATATGATCCTCTCACACACACCCATGCGTGAGCTCACTAAAACTTATGGAGACAAACGAGTGCTTATCATGGGATCGCATGATGTTTGGCACGTGGTACGATTTTTCTTCTCGATTGATTCTCCTTGATTGAATGACCTAAAGGTTTTCTTTCCTATCTAGGCCAAATGCTATGGCTTTAAAAAGGTTGTAAGTGTACAGGATCTACTCCACCATTGTCCAGCTCAGTATCCATTCAATCACTACGAGCAGAGGTGATGAAAAATTGCAGTCAAAATGCTAATTAATAGCTGACATTCGTTCTTGAGTTTAACAGATTAGCACCGTATTACAACGAGCCGATTGAGGCCATCATTGTGATGCATGATCCAATAAACTGGGCTCCTGAAATTCAAGTTGCAGTAGACGTGTTAATAGGAGGTGATCCACCTGGATCTGGGTCTTTGTCAGGTAAGCAAACGCCATTGTTTGTAAGCAACGACGACTTCGTATTCAGCGGTGAATATCAATCTCCTCGGTTTGCTCAAGGTACAATCTCTGTTGAAATCGTCTTGAGTTTTTGCTGTTATGATGCTCAATGGTGAATGTTTTAAAGGAGCGTTTACAAAATGCTTAAAACTTCTTTATGAAGATTTTACTGGTTGCAAGTTAGAGATGACCCATTTCGGCAAACCTCACACCATCACTTACAAGTAAGTGTCACAAATGCAGCTATTGAAGTGATTTATTTTGCGCTTATGGACATATTTACTGTCGTTTAAATCACAGTTACGCGGAGCGCCTCCTTAATTCGATCTCAGGACAAACTGAGCCTCTCAAACACATCTACGGCATTGGTGACAATCCGTCGTCTGATATTCAGGGAGCCAATAATGTCGGCGAGAGGTGGACGTCTGTGCTTGTTCGCACGGGGGTGTACGATGGGGTAAATGAACCTGATCATACACCTGATGTGATCGTCGATAATGTTTACGAGGCGATCAAGCACATTTACAAGCGTGAAGGCATCAACGACTATGCGCTGTAAACTTTTTAAAAGCTTGAACATTTGCCAATAAGCTCTGCGATTTCAATAAATTCTGAGATAGTCTGCAGTAATTGTTGTCATTGGCGCCTCATCATCTACTGTTTGAGATAGAAATTCTTTTGCACCATATTTCGAAGCCACACGTAATACTCGTGAAGTACGGCACGCTCTTGAACGCCATTAGATTCTGTTTGGCTTTTAATGTCTCGATCTACGTGATCATCATGATTCTCACAAGTTGTTGGGTTTGTCTCGATGTACCTCGATGCTGAAGCCAACTCTATAGATTCAGCAGCAGAAGCCTCATCATAACTTTCCTCGCAAAACAAATTAGCAGCTGTCGGAGACAATGCTTCTCGATCTTCCTTGAAATCAGGACTATGTTGATTATCATGTGCCTCTGAGTTTTGGGTGACAGATAATTGATCTGTTTTAATAGCCTTGTCTTCCTGTAAGGAATTTACTACCGCTTCATTTTGAGGGAATGATCGCTGGATACCTGATACCTCAGAATTATCGGACTTTTCTTCATCGTACGCATTTGTATCTTTCACACTTCGCGAAGAAAATGATGAGGTGACGATGTCTTGAACTCGCTCCATAAATGGCAACTTGGTCAAGCTTTGCCTTATATATTTTCTCTTGGAATATGTTGGAGTCACAATGCCTTCGTCTGCCGTGCAAAAATGATTCGTTTGATCAAATGATCGTTTAAATGGCGTTCTGAGATGAACGTCATCAATGGTCGAATTTACACAATTTTGCGACTTTGTGGATGCTACTGGAGCACTTCTTGACAAAAGTTCTAACGCTGCTGGCCTTTGTGTCGAGGCATTAGTTGGCGTGAGCTCTCGATTAAATAAATTATTATTCTTCGCACTCTTTTGAATAGTTCGTTTAGCAAGTTTGCGTTGTGATGGCAAAGCAGTAACTCGTAGATCGCTTGTGTCGATATGGACGCCTGCAAATTCGAGCATTTTCTTGGCAGATTCAAATGTTTCGCGTGTATTACGACACTGATAACACGCACAACGTGACGTACAAGTAACTCCAGCTTGATAACATTCACAGTAATTCTTGATGCAGCCACTCTTACGGCAATTGCATCCTCGACGATGTTGTGATCCATTTGCAACTTTAGGGTGAAATGCTAATGGATTTCTCTCTATAATCGTAGCAATTGCTCGCTCTCGTTCAGATAAATTATCGGCTCGATTCTTGCACTCTTCACAATAACAAAGATGATCACACATTCTCTGAGCGGCTAAACATTCGCAATATAATTTCAAACAACTAGACTTCTTGCAATTACATCCTTTAGTCCTCTCCGGCGGAGCTGACACTTGGCACTCGTTGTCGTTAGAAATATCAGCTTCAGAGACAAAAACAGGCTTTGAAATATTGCTCGCCATGTTGTTAGTAGCTTGCGGCTCTATAGAGCTTGCTAAAATGGTCATGGAAGTGTGATTTCTTAACTCCATTTCAGTTTCTGGCTCAGACACACGAAAATTTGGACATGACTTTGTCTGCTTACGCTTCTTAGTAATTCGAATGGTCTGTACAGTTTCATCGTAATCATGTCCTTGGTTTTTGCAGCCCAAACACTGACAACGTTCAATACATCGGCCACCACCTGCAAAACACTCACAGTAAAGCTTCTGGCAATTTGACTTTTTGCAATTACAGCCACGCTGTCGACCACTCAAAGACATTTTGCTTTGCTATAAAGTAGAAGGAAGGCGATGAGGTTTATGGATACAGACAGATTAAGACAAGGAGAGCAAGCTTACATCCATATGGAATTAGTCTTTAGAATGTAAACTTTTTGATTTGAATTTGAATTCCAAGCTTTCAAATTGCGCCAAAGTACGAGTGGATTTCTCTGGAACTAACTTTCTTGAAAAAGCAAAATATGTTTAAGATCAGGTCAGACAATGAATGAAAATGAATTTACAAGAAGCAAAGTCTCAAATGAAGTTTGAATTCAGATTGCGTTGTTGCCATAGCGAAACTAAATTTCTAAACTCGCGCTCAATAATCTTCATCGCCACCGAACATGTCCATGCCACCGCCCATGTCAACTTCCTCTTCTTCCTCAACAGCTTCCTCTTTCTTCGCCTCAGGGGCAGCAGCACCACCAGCTGGAGCGGCTACAGCGAACGCTGACGGGTCAGCTAGATAAGCTTTGTATGGCTCAGCTTTCTCGAAAGAAAAGCTTTCACATTCCACAGCAATAGCAACCAAATCCTTGAATGCATTAGCGATTGAGTGAGGAATTGAGGCAAGAGTTGGAATGCCTAATTCCAGTGACATCGCGGCTACATTGCGCAATCCAGCAGCAAATTTAGCGCATAGATCAGCCTCAGTAAGGTCAAGTACAGCAGGGTCGAAGATTGATCCATTGTCGTAAACTTGCTCGATCACTAGACCGTAAGAAAAAGGTTTGATGTCGAGCTTCTGCAGCAGAGCAGCCTCAGAGTTGCCAACCTTCTCACCCTTGCGGGTAAGAAGTACCTCAGATACAATTTCAATCTGTCCCTTTTGAATCTTAGTGGCAATTTGCAAAGCCTGGAAGAACGAAGTCTGACCGGGATCAGCACCAGTGGGACCTGGAGGCACGATGACATCAACTGGAGCAATTGAACCCACACGAGCCGGAGCAGGCACACGGTTCGACTCAAGTATCTCACGGATCTCAGACAAGTCGTCATTTGTGAATACAAAGCCGACATTACCCTTAAGTAGCGGAATGAATAACTCAAGTGGGTGCCCAGGGTTTTTCTTTACAAAGTTATTAAACACCTTACGCATAAGGGTGTTCTTACCCATAAGCACTTCACCACGACCACGAAGCACTAGACGGATTTGTTGCATTTGGGCCGAACCGACATTGTCAACACCGACGAGAAAGATCTTGGTGTACTTTTCAAGCAAATTTTCGAGCTTCGCAAAGTACTCGAGCTTACGTTCCTGAGAAAGACCCATGATGAAGAAAAACGCAGTCGCTTTAACCAGTTAAGGAGACTTGCGCTTGAATTTAAGAAGTAGGAGATATTTCATCGCGACCAAAGGGGTCAAAGCCTCTCGCTTCCACCAGTTAAAATTCTCATTAAATTATTGTTCACAAGCTACCCCTCACAACATAGTTTCGCATATATAGTCTGGCTAATTTGTAATTATACACTTTGACTGAATCCTAGATTTTGAGCTTAGGTCCGATTTGTATATTATACAACATATTCTAAAACACTATTAAAAACATTCTTCTTTTAATTCAACGAAGCCATGTCGGAAGCACTCGCGAGTCGCGTTGTGCTTTACGTACATGAATTACTTCATTCGCCTACAGCTGACAACATAATGGTACATGCGCACAGTCTTTTCGCGCGCCTGGGCTTCCCAGAGCCATACCCGGACGCTGAGCGTCTCGCAATCGCGCTAGTCACAGGCATTTTTACCTTACTTGCTTATTTTGTGCTTTTTGGTAAACGTCATCGCAGAAGAAGGCAGGCGCTGCAAGAAGAATTGGACTCGGCATACCATAAGGTACAGGAGCTGCAGTATCGCATGGCTCAGATGGAGGTAGAGGAGCGTGATAAGCCTCCCAAGGAACAGATTCGTATCTGGATGGATGGGGCTTTTGACATGATGCATTACGGACACATGAATGCTTTTCGTCAAGCTAGGTCGTTAGGTACTTACCTTGTAGTTGGTGTAAATGATGATGAATCTATTACGGCTTGCAAGGGTGCACCTCCCGTGCTTAATAACGAAGAGCGTATTGCGTCAGTGGAGGGTTGCAAGTTTGTAGATGAAGTGGAGCCACAATGTCCGTATATAATGAATGAAGATTATCTGCAGCGTATGATAAAAAAACACCGTATCGATTACGTGGTGCATGGGGATGATCCTTGTATCGTCGACGGCAAGGATGTGTATGAGTCAGCTCAAAAGCTTGGCAAATACAGAACAATTCCTCGTACCGAAGGTGTATCCACAAGTGATATTCTAGGACGAATGCTCGTGATGCACAAGACTCACCATAAGCATGACCACTTTGCTGCTAATGGGCAATTATCGTCGCGTATTTTACAGGATAAGAAAGCAAAAGAACGTCCATCCAAGTTTTTGACGACAAACCGTATGCTGCGATTATTTTCTGTGGGTAATCATGAGCCTTCCAGGACTGACAAAATCGTGTATATTGATGGCGCGTTTGATATGTTTCATGCTGGCCACGTCGAGATTTTGCGTCTGGCTAAGCAGGAGGGGTCGTACTTGATTGTAGGTGTACACAATGACAGCGTAGTCAACGCCCATCGTGGTCTCAACTATCCAATTATGAACCTTCACGAGCGTGTGCTCAGTGTGCTTGGCTGCAAGTATGTGGATGACGTACTGATCGATGCACCCTGGCACGTGACACCTGAAATGATTGCATCGCTAAATATTTCTGTCGTTGTGCATGGAACACATCGGGATCAGCACCACTTACCAGAATTTTCATTGGAGGAACATTATGAGCATGCACGCAAAGCTGGCATCTTCAAATTAATCGAAAGCCCCAATAAATTGGACGTGAATGACATCGTGGCACGAATTAACGATAATCGTGAACGTTTCGAAAAGAAGTTTGTGAGTAAGATGAAATCGGAGGAAGAGTACTACGCGGACCGCTACGGCATGACAAAAGTAGAAAAAAATAACTAAACGTACTTGTTGGGAAATAGTACTCTGGTCAAACTTTTACTTATGCCAGGGACTCACAGTAATAAATACGAATACTAAACCTGTCGTGAACGTGAAAAGACACTTTAAGATCCATTAAAAATCGTTCATGCTGCGGCGTATGATCCTTCCTTTCATCTTTATTTACTTCTTCTTTCTGCTAATTCTATCGTTGCTTTAGGTGCTGTGTTGTTACACCGACCAATTCGCTCACTCCCTTACCAACAACTATCCTGTTTTCAGCGCTTTCTGTCTTACGAATTTAATTCTCATCTACAGTCCACTCGTCAAGGTGCTCGTTTGCTTGCGGCGCTACCACTTACTGCTATTACATTAGTTTCAACGCTCTGCGTCTCGAATCTGGCGATGGAGTCTGCTGACGCCGTAAAGGCAGAGGAATACTACAATGACACATCTTTTGATCGTCGTGAGCTACTTAATAAGCTTAAAGAGATGCACGGTGCTCATCCTGAAGATGTCGGTGTAATTTGGCGTCTCACCCGCGCTGCTTATGATGTGTCAAAGCTCAAAGCCACCAGCGCTGATGAGACGAAGGAGCTAACGTATTATGCTCGCGACATCATCCAGAAGGGTCTAGAGCTCACGACGGACGTGGCCCCAGTACACACCTGGTGCGTAAATGGTCTAGGTTTTATAACCAGTTCAACATTGATCGGAATTTATTTCATCTTGTTTAGGTTTGGAATCATCCTGTCATCGATTGGAGACTATGAGGGCTCAAAGGTTTCGATTGCCAACTCATTTAAGATAAAAGATCATTGGGAGAAGGCAATAAAGATTAATCCATCGAACCCCACGCCGTATTATCTGTTGGGTCGTTGGTGTATTGCAATTGCTGATCTATCATGGTTAGAGCGCAAGGCAGCAGCAGTTCTGTTCGGTACGCCACCCGAGTCCTCTTACGATGAAGCGCTAGATTATCTACTTAAGTCAGAGGAGCTCGCTCCTGACTCATGGAAGAAGCGTTCGTTGCTTATTGCTCAAGTATATCAAAAGAAAAAAGATGCGAGTAAGGCTAAGGAGTGGGTAAATAAGGCACTGGCAATCCCCGTTTGCGTTGAGGAGGATGAAATTGCGCATGAAGAGGCTCAAGCTTTTCTAAAGAAACTCTAGGCCACCCTAGATACAATCGTCTTTCCACGTTGCATATTGAAACTTGACTGATCGTAATTTGCTAAGTCTTTTGATATACCATTTAACATCCTTAAATTGGCTCGCATTGAGCTTATGGCCACATATCTCTGGCTCATACGCTTCATAATCGTATTTTGTGCTGACCAGTCTACGCAAGACCAAAATTTTGTACAGGAGCAATTCTTTTGCACTTAATCCTTAAAGATAGTGTGGTGATGACTTCGCCGTGACATGTGCGCAATATATCGTCATCATACAGAGCAATTTCCATCCCTTTAGAAACTTGAAAAGTGAGGAGATTGCCACTCAGCTTTACTTGGATCTTCATCTCTAAGGCCTAAGCGATCGCATCGTATCATAAAGAGCCGCTTTCTACATTTACACTACAGTAAGAAGTAAAGACACGTCAGAATCCTCCAAGATAGTGTGGCCGGATCATCTGGCGATCTTCCGCAATCGTCTTCAAGCTAATTATTTCAACCAATTAAAATCTATTAAAAACCAAATGGAAATAGACAGGATTAACAGCCAATCAAGCGTATTATAAGGGGGGTTGTTATTATACTGACTATTGAGGCGCGTCTAGCCCCAGCCTCTTGTCGCTCTACCCAGCTCCAGCGGGGGCCGCAACGCCCGCAGCCACTGCCGCGTCAGCCCACGCATCTGCTCTTCGAAGCTCTAGTTTTTTTTGGAAAGAACGATGGCAATTACGTCGGACGAGGTCAATTACCTTGTTTACCGGTACCTGCAAGAGTCGGGCTTTCTACACTCGGCCTTTACTTTCGCTTACGAGAGCCAATTGGCCAAGTCGAGCGTTATTAATACGGAACTTCCGCCGGGTGCACTTGTATCTTTCATGCAAAAAGGGCTTCAGTATGTTGGTATTGAAGCGCACATTAATGAGGTACGTGAGTTAACGTTTCTTGTGAGTATTAAGAAAAGAGAACTTGACTTTGAGAATGATTTGTTTTCAGGATGGTACCGAACGTGAGTGTGATGGCGAATTTTCCCTTTTAAGTCCGCACATTTGTCGTGTAGCTCAGTCTACTTCTTCTAGTAGTGCGAGGACTCATAAGGCGTCGAATAAACGAAAGCGGAAAGGAGATGGTTCGCCAGATGCTGTAGATGGTACGAAAGGTAGGAATCCGCTGCGTTTTTTCTAGTGAATTGTATTTTGAATGGAGCTTTGTGCATTTTTTTGCAGGAATGAACGGATTAGAAAAATTAGATAAGGAGGCTCTTGTGTTGCTGAATGGACATGAAAAAGAAGTGTATGCGTGCTCTTGGAGTCCTGTGACAAATATTTTGGTTTCGGGATCAAGTGATTCAACAGCTCGTGTCTGGTCGCTGCCAAATAAAGTAGAGGATAGTAAAGCGCTAGTACCAAAAGTCTTGCCCCATGGCACAGGACCACATAAGGATGTGACAACTCTCGAATGGAATGTACGTTGCTCACAGCCTCTAGGTGGGAAGATGCTGCGGTCTAATAAGGAATGTGTGGGATTGTCTCTTATCGAAATGTGCAGCACGATGGATCCTTGCTGGCGTCAGGAACTTATAACGGCAAGACTCGAATTTGGAACGCTGAAGGGGAGATGAAGCAAATTTTTCAATACCACAATGGACCCGTATTTGCAACGCGATGGAGTAAGACAAGCTTGTATTTGCTGAGTGCCAGTTTTGATAAGACTGTGGTTGTATGGGATTGCACCACTGAAACAAAGAAACAACAAGTAAAATTGCACGACGACCCGATTTTGGACGCATCATGGAAAGATGATTTTACATTTGCGACGTGCTCTTCGGATATGAGCATTTGTGTTGCTCGTGTCGGCGAAACGAAGGCTGATGTTGTATTGCGAGGACACAAAGATGCAATCAATTCCGTTAAGTGGGATCCTTCTGGACGATATTTGGCATCATGTTCAGATGATTACACTTTAAAAATCTGGGATCCGTTTAAGGCTAATGATCTAAATGTTATAGCTGATGAAAGTGTGGTGACAGCTGAAAATAATGAAAACTCTAAGAAAGATACAGAACTGGATGAAGCAACCTCAGCTGCGCTATTATTTACGCTTCAAGAACACAAGAAAGAAGTGTATACATTTCGATGGAGCTGTACAGGTCCAGGTACCTCACTACCTGACCAACAATTGACATTAGCAAGTGCATCCTTTGACGGCACAGTAAAACTTTGGGACGCTGACTCTGGTGTCTGTAGGAGAACATTTGACCATCAGTATGTGACCCTGTTGAATGCTTTTTGGCCTAAAACTAACGATGTTGTTAAAAAAACTGTTTGGTGGTGCTGTAGGTATCCCGTTTATGGTGTTGCGTTTAGCCCGAATGGGGAATATTTGGCTAGTGGAACAGTAGGCGGAATGGTTAACGTCTGGTCACTCAAGGTGCGTCAAACCTGATTTTTATCATGTTTACTGTATTATTGACTCTAGACGCTTAATGATATTTGCAGGATGGATCCTTAGTAAAGACGTATCAAGCAAATGGCGATATTTACGAGGTCAATTGGAATAAAGACGGCGACCAGATCGCCGCATGTGTATCCAGTGGTAACGTCGCAATAATCCATTTCCGATTGTAGTATTTACTTTAGGAATAAAGACTAAACCGCAAGGTCTTTTGGAAATCCTTAGAAGAAAGACGAGAATTTCTAGCGACCAATGTCTGAATCATAGGAAGTAGAGTATAAACTCCCAGTCCGCTTTTATAATGCCCCAAATAATCTATTTTAGCCCCTCGAAACGATATTTCTGGAAAAGGTCGCAAATCTCATATATCAGAAATTTTAGAACCTGAGTACATATCATGCAAGTCAAAATGACAAATTAGCGAGAAGATTTGATACCGTTGGGTTTTGTATCTGTCAAAAGGCTAGCCAATGAAATCCTCGGTATAGATATGTCGAGTATTAGCGCTGGGGACTCCCGCTTAAAGTTCTCTCGTCCAGCACGTTGAACAGTCAGAAGGCTGTTAATCATGCCTTCAGATGTACGACACGGAAGCCTAAGCGTGAGTCGGTAAACAAGAGCATGTACACGCTATCAGCTTAAGGTCTTTGTCCTACAAGAGTTTTCGCTTGAAGCCCATCGTCTACCTCAGCAATAGAGCGGCGTCGCGGTCGTTCTTTGTGGACAAGGTGATTGTAAAATTTAAACAGTTTGAATAAATTGAGATGGTCCACATTTGTGGTGCCGCTGCGCATAAGCGCTATCTGACCTTAAGGAAGATCATTCCAGTATAATTGGTATATTCGGATGATCTATATGATACCGGAGCAAGACATATACCCATTATAAAAATGTATCCAGTCTTTGACGGGGTGCACCTCATACCGAGGAATCTTTGATTCTAGAAATCCACGAAGCGAAAGCACCGGGTTTGGGTTCGCTCCTATTGGGATCCAGCGTTTTAGTTTTCAAAGCCAACAAAAGGAACTCATCAAAGGATGCCGTGGCCTATCTCTCCCACATCAACTGATCTTGTTGGACATTGCCAACGTAAGTTCATATCACTGATTTTTATTACAATTGAGTTAGTGATAAAAGCGATTATTCTTTTTGCACACTTTTCCTTACAATTTAAAAAAAGTCAGGCAAGTGACGCCACTTTGAAGTATAAATGGAGATATCAAGCATGATACTGTCGCCCTTGAAGCTTAAAAAACGAAGCCAGTCACACTCGAATATTACGATGACATTGAGTCTGGTCTTTCATCTTATCATATGCCACCGTTTCCGGACGTAAACCCCCCACAGAATATGCCAAGCGATGCGCTGAACTCCCCCAGTTCGCTTTAATCTGAGGCTTAACCAAGAATCACATTCCCACACTCCACCATCGGAACGGAAGGACCAGCCCATCTCATCAAATGAAGCCGTTACATCACGAGCAACGTTAAAAGTTGTCTCGCCGCCTTCGAAAGCACCATCGTCGAACAGTCGATTCGCCCGATTACGTCGCCAACTATCTGATTTGGTCGCAAAGTTGCTAGCACTGTTATGGCCCTTTCATCGACAGTCAATGGTACAGCCTTGCTTTCAAAAGTGTCGTGTGACCACATATTATATAGCCATCGTCACATTATATACCTCATTTATTACCTCTATAATGTGGGTCTTTTGCCATAGCTGTCAAGTCCATATTGATCTCTTATGCTGTTACTCGGTGTGCCGTGACCTTGGCGTTAATGCTACGTATTGTGTTGCTTTCTTCTCTACAAAGTCCATTAGCTAATAAATGTGGTCTCGCTATTTAAGGCGCCATGACGTATCACAAACGGATTCTACTTAACAACTGTATTTTAATAATTTGATATTTTACATAATTGTCAATCGTCGAATTCAACTTCCATAAGCTTCGTAAAGATTACGCAATTTTAATAGCAGCTGCTTTCCCAGCCAGCAGATGATAGAAAATAAGCCAATATTATGACACCAGCCCCCAGCAATATTATCTTACAATCAAGCGTTGGGATAGTACGGAACATCAAAGACTTGTCGGTATTACAACTGCCTTGTTATACGTGCTAGTGCTTAAAATGACTTAAAAGTCGCTAACAATAGATCTCCTTATCATATGGGAGGAAATCATCGTGAGAGAACAGGACACAATTCAATCAAAACCATTAAGATGCATATATTGGGGTTGTGAAAGAAGATCAACAAGTCGTGATTTGCGGAAAAACATCAACATACTCATCTATATACAGTAGAACATGCCTTCGTTAATGAAATGCTCTCTTGATTTCACTATCTTCTCCCTGGCCGAATGATTGACCCATTTGTGAAGTTTACCGCAGCCCGATAAAGAAATGGCGTGCATCGATTTAAGGACATGGGCGTCTTCACTTACAACAAGGGGATCTGGTCTTTTTATTTGTGCCTTCATAGCAATTTTGCTGCCGTCAGCTCTCACTTCAACTTCGTCTACCACGACCGCGCTCAACGGAGCAATTGTTGCGAGAAAACCCGCTACTACTGCCGAAGTTGAGAGCGAAAGTCGATCTTTTTGGCCTCTCGAAATCTTGAAACTTGAAAAATGGAACAACGAATACAGCAGCATTGACGATTGGTTTTCGCGTAAAGGACTTCGCCACGTGGGGATCAAGTTGTTTGAGAGGGAGGAAACCATGGAAAAACTAGCCGAATGGATTGAATTCGCTAAGTATATCCACCAAAGGGGATACTTACTCCGAGTGGGTTACGTTTTGGACAAAGAGTTTGAAAACGATATTTACACTTTGTTAAAGGCGATCACTAAGATGAAAAAAAGCCCCAAGAAAAAGCGTACACTACTTGCAGAAGATCTCGAAAATACATTAAAGACGGTTTGGTTGAAGAATAAATTGTCGTTAATTGACTTGCTTATAAAGATGAAGGAAGAGGATGTTCTAGCCGATCTGAGCAGCGAAGCACAAGCCAAAGAGTTTGCCGAGATTTTTCCGATGGAGATTCTACGTAACTACGCAAACTCGAGGTACTTTTCGGAGGCAGAAGAGTATCTAAACATTGCAAAAGACTTCAAGTTCGGTGATAAAAAGCTGTCAGAACTGATGGAAGGTTCCCACACTTTTTCCTCCACCATGACCGAAGGGAAGGAGTCTGTGACACGCTTATCTAACAATCAGGAGACGAAACAAGTCAAGGCTTCAACGGGATCGGGCAAGAAACGGAGTTGGTTTCGCCCTAAAGAAGAAAAGAACCAAAAGCAAACGCCGAATGAGGCCTTAAAACCACCAGTGGCGCTTGAAGCTTCACCGCCACCCCCAACTGTACCTTTATCCAGCACGCCCATTAATTTGTCAAAGAGATTCGAATCTGCACCGACGGAACCTCCATCAAACAGCCTTCGAGCCCGATTATATCGCTTTTTGGCTGCATTGTGGGCGAAATTACGGGCAATACTGTGGCCTTTTGACTAGAGAGAGACAGCACTGGTGATTTTTCACTCCAGCGTTATTGCTAATTTCTTGTTTGAGCGTACTAATAGGCATTCCGATAATCTTCCTTGTTCCTGCTTGTCCAATAAAACATGCTACTTATGTAGCCAGACGCGAGTACGGGGTCACCACGCTTCTTGTACTTGGGACAACGAAGACAAGTCTTTATAAAAAGGAGCACAAGGTCGGAAATCTCGGGAAAAGTGACTGCTCCTCAGCACCAAGAACTCTCATCGCGTACTCCCGATCGAGTGTTTGCGACAGATTCGACATCTATAAGCGCTAAGACCGTTGACACTTTAAGTCGACATGCTGAGTTAATTTACGCGATTCACGCAACCTTTTTCGTATTGACCGTTTTTTTACTATAGCACTCGCCACCATTTGAAGTAGTGCAATGATCCTAATGATTCTATACCGAAAGCGAGAGAATACTCGAGTATTTGCACCGCAGACATGCTCACCTGCTTACGCTAAACCTCTGTGACAGAATTCGATTGGTTGCAAACTTATCGCTTAATTCAACCTTTGAATTATTCTATGCAAGTCTTCCGCATAGATCTTCATTGACATGAAATTCGTAGGTAAGAAAACCAGCGGCTATGGTGCTCGTGACGTCGCCCACAATTTTTTTTGACCGGAATGCTGCGGTCTAAATATTTTTCCATCTAAACGAGCAACCGCATCCTCTTTTGTTAAGCCTAACGCTTATAACCATCCCTGTGGCTAGACTACTTGTAAGAAAAATCAAATTATTCTCAGCCAACTAATTTCCGATTGTCGCGACATTAAAGCTCTAGCTACGCGTCATTGTCGCATTTTTAAAAAGCAGTCTACCGAGGCACGGACAGAGAGTAAGAAACACGTATTATGCAATCTCCTGCTTAAGATCCGATCTACATTTGTATCCTTTACTTTGTCGCTCTTTATCATTACATTACTTTGATGAGCATTTCGTACCCTCATTTGAGTGTGAAACCGATAGTCTTTGATTTGACAGTGGTTCAAGAGTGTCAGAATCTAGTCTTATTTAACATATTTTTTCCTGTTTTTCTATGTATATTGTTAAACAACAACACCACACTATACGGCCGTATAGACATCTCCATGACGAAATCATTCTTTGGTACTGCAGGGCTTCGTGCAAACGTATAATGTATCCGTACGTATCATGTATCCGTACTCCACAATACGATACGTACCCTCCCAACCAAAACGTATTGCTAAAAAAGCCGAAGTGAGTATATTGAGGTCCTTAATTCGCGATTTCGAGTTACCTCTTAGCCTTTCCTATGGCGTTATTCTGGGCGCAATCATGTCGTCCTATGGTTCGGAAATTCGATCGCACAACGTATGCTGTAAGCCATTCTTCTAACACTCCTCCTCGCGATCGTGTCTCTGTCGCCATAACTAGCACAGCCCCACGAGCGCTTGCAGCTCGGCAAGCTTGTGCTGGTCTAATGCTTTTGTCAGTAAGTCCGCGAGCATAAGCTCGGACT